ATTGATATACATCTAAAATTACATTATTATATAAAGATTTAATATTACACCATAAACACGCTTTCTATCGTTACAATATGAAGTGCAAAACTGAAGGAAATTAATCGAGTTAAAAACGACATTTTTTAAGTAATTCTTTGATGTAAAAATGTAAATAATTTTTAAACAAATTTTATTTTTAATTGGAAATATATAAAATAAAGTAAATACTGTTCACTGGATCATCGTGCAAAAATTTTCTGGTATTGTATAAGTAATATATGTCCTGTTTCCTATACCATTATATTTATTATACGGATGATTTGACTTGATTGTTACGAATTATTATTATTATTATAATATATTTCCTGATTTATTTTTCAAGTTTTAAGCTACGTTTCTTTATGTAAATGTATATATAGAAGTAGTATCCAACCCCAACCCCTTTATCGTTGGAACGTTGAGATCAATGTGGAGTCACCTATATGAGAATTTATAGATGTAATTGTCAAAAAGATTAAGTTTTTTTTAATAGTATAACAAGTAGAAATTATCAAATTTTAATCATAATTATTGCCAATTAACTTAATAATTGCCAATAATTACGATTAAAACAAAGTAGAAATACTTATCACTACAGGTACTGTACACCACACCCGAAATTACATCCAATCTTTAAGCTTAATAGGCAATATTATTTTGCTTCTGCTACGTATTAGCTAAATACGAGTGCTAATACAAGTACAATATAAGGACTGGCAGCTTCAGGTTAGAGTCCAAAAACATGAAGCACTAAAAAAAAATAACCAATTGCCATGGACAAACCATTGTAATATGTAATTATACGGTTGTAAAAAAATTGTAAAAAATAGAAAACAAGTGGATAAAACCATTAGAATACTGGTAGGTTAGTTGTGGGTTCACACTTGGCAAAAAAAGACTCGCCACGTGAAATTTTCCGTGTTTTCTTCACGTTTCTAATTAAAAAACGTGAAGAAAACCCCTGTAGGAATTATAATCAACCCTGCAGGTTGCTTAAAGTTCCTACAGGGACTATAATCAACCGAAAGATGTGAACCCATGACCTGTTTTCATTAGTTTTACCCACTCAACCACTGCTGGGCTTTCAGTGGATTTACGTAAATAAAGAGAATTTCTTTAATATTTTTTACTTTCTACCTTTTATTTATTCATTTTTTTTAATACAGAATACTAAATTATCGAAATTCTTCTTAGTTTAGCATTTAATTAAGAAATAAGTAAAAAGTTAAGTCACGACATACATAAATAGACATACAGACAGGCAGGAAAAATTAATAATAATAATAAAAAAAAGCGTATTGATAAAAATATCTGCATTTAATTAATGTAAATTATTATTTGTAATTAATTTTTGTTTACGTGTAGATTTAATTAGTTATAAACGAATGAAATTGTAGAGGGTGGCCCAAAAGTTAGTTAACCGCTGTAAAGATTAAATTACCATTAATTAATTTAATTAAATAATAAAACAATCACAAGTCTTCACCGATTATGTATAATTCTAAGATCCTAACAATGAGCAACGTTGCTGACGATAGATTACATGAGGAAAATATATATAAATTGACTATAGAAATATTATTTTTAATGATTTCAGATATTTCATATTTATTAAAATGACCTTCTGCACTTGAAATTCATCTTATCTTTTCTTCTTTATCACGCTATGCGCTTTCAATATACGATTGCGGTTGAAATAATGGAAATTACAGCTTAATAGACGGAAATAATTTTATATATATTTATTATATAACTTAACAATAGTCTCTTTAAAGAGATATTGATCTTCATTTCTAACACCAAATGGAAAATTTTATAATTTATTACACAAATCTTGAAATACCATCTTTTTGTTGATAAATTTGTAGTTGTTTTCACTATATATTGGGAATTTTTCTAATTAATTCTGTTAATTATTCGGGGGGTGGCCTGTTCCGAATATGTTTGGCCTTAGATCACGTTCCACCAATGGATTAAACCACCGAACTATGGTCCCATTCCTTATACAAACAGACAAACAAAACTCTATAGCCTGCTCATAGAAGAGTAGATAAAACCGCTAAACACTAGTCGTAGGTTCGTGCCTCGTCAACGGGCTAACTATATGGAGTTTTCGGGGTTTGGTTTGCGTATCTAACACCTAAATAGGAGTAGTTTCTCGTAGAAAATCTCTCCTCTTTGGCAAACTGGAGGATTTAGAGGTGCTCAGGGTCTGGCTGCACACTAGTAAACTCATACTTTTATTGCTTTGGTCATCAGTTTCTACGGGCGTTAATCTTATAAGAAACATTGTTATTGTTTTTATTAGGCATCCTCCTGGGTTCCTGTTTAGGCGAAGAAAACCCGGAAAACACCACGTGGCCAGCCCGTTGGGAGGCCCGAACCAACGTCCAACTACCAATGTTCAATTGTTTTATCCATTGAGCTACTAACAAACTGTTTTTTTAATGATTCTAATTGGGCACCCTCATTCCATAAGACCTATACTATAAACACATGTGCAACTATATTAAATAGAACATTAGAAAACAGAATATATTTAAAAAGTAATGTTATTCTTACTTCGATTAAATAATAAATCAAGAACAGAAATTGGCATGGTTGTAAGAATTAATGATAGAGAACGATATAAATGTATGTTAAAGGAATGTTAAGGAAGTGCGATACAAGTTCCAAGTTTTATAATTATAATAATTAAAGATGATGGACGTCGGCGTTATTGACCTTATTTTGTGGATGAGGTCAATTATAAACAATATTACGTTCGATACGCAAAGAATTCCCAGCGTTGCTGCAGGGGAAGGATTGAGTTGTCCCCGTTATAAGGTAGCGTGTGTTTCCCTCAAGGTGGCAGAGAGTAACTATGAAAATTTTTGTGCAAATCAGTCAATGAGTTTGTGTGGGATGAAATGGGAAAGGAGTGAGGATTCGAGTTTGAAAGTACCGTATATTTTCTAGAGAGGAACTATTAAATATTTGTCTACATTGCTCGAAAAGTGTGGGATTTTGGGGGTAGGGGTGCGAATTTAATGGTATTCCATGTTTCCTATAGAGACATTGGTTTAGAGCGGATGTATTTCGTGACAATTGTGACTTTATTTTAGGCATTTTATCGCCGATAAGGCTCACTCGTGCATGCCTACACCTGAAAGGTAACCGAAAGAACTCGATTTACCTAGGTAAAGTCTGATAACGTGCGATTAATTCTTATTTTTAAACAACTACCCCGAANGTGGTGATTAAAGGGCCAATTAAACGCTTCGTTAGAAACGGGGTCATCTTCGAAGGGGATGATTTCGTCACGGAAGTAGACGAAGTCGTTCTAGCTACCGGCTACGTCATCAAATTCCCATTTCTTTCCGAAGATATCGTATCCGTTAAGGATAATAAAGTAGAGTTGTATAAATACGTGATACCACCCCAGCTTAAACACAGGACACTAGGAGTGATCGGATTGATACAGATCGTCGGGGGTCTGTTTCCGATTTCGGAGATCCAAGCCAGATGGTTTGTTAAAGCTATAAAAGACGAGGTGGATCTACCTTCTACTCAAGGAATGTACGACGAAATCAAACGAAATTCCGAAATGATGAGGAAACAATACTTCGATGGACCGCGACACACCATACAAGTAGATTACGTGGATTACTTGGACGATTTGTCTTCCATGATGGGAGCCAAACCGAATATGTTGAATATGTTTTTCACGGATTTCCCACTATTTTGGGCATGTTTTATGGGACCGAATCTTCCGTATCAGTATCGTTTGCAAGGGCCACACTCGTGGGTAAATGCGAGACATTCTATACTTCGTTATAGAGAGAGGGTGGATGCTGCATTCAAGACACGTTACTTTCCTCCGGAAACGAGTGTAGAAAAAACTCTACTGAGATATATTTTTGGGTCTTTCATGACTTTTATCTTCGCTCTTTTGTTTGTTACTGTGACATTTTAGCTAAGACGTCTCAAACTCTTGTATTTTAAAAAAATTCAATTTATAATACAAATATATCCCAAAGTAATTGTTACACGCTGTACTTTTTAAAGTGATTTGTTTTTTTATGTATCATATTTTAAATTGTATTACAAAATAAATCATTACAACTTTTCCAATTTGAAATTAGTTTTTGCCGTCAAATTAAATTAACATTAACATTATAACAATTAAACTCATATATCTCTTACGTAGTAATTAAACAGTGGTACGTGCAAAAAAAGACAATTGCCTGCAAACCAATCTTCAATAAGAAAATATTTCCCCCAAAAAAAAACAATGTCTGAAGTCACACGAGGCCCCCTAATTCAAATTCGTCCGGGCCCCATGGTGCTACAACTTCATATTGGAATTAAACACAGCGTTATAAATTAATTTACCTTATAGTTTTTAATTCAGTAGGTCACAATACTTTGTCCTATTTGATCTTATGGTTACTTTCTTGTGTTACCTTTCAATTATATAACGATTTCAACACTACAATCGCATGTCAAAAATGTAAAATACAGTATGAATTGTTAATTATTTTCCTCAAGGAAGTACTTTTATTTTTACTACAGGAAACACAGTATATATATATATATTTTTTTTCGAATCTCTTCCAGGAAGCTTCGTTAATGAATCGAAGAGAGTAGTATACACTAGATATAACGATACATTTCACAGATATAGCTTTATTTAGATTGTTGTTATACGAGATGCAACGATAAATAACCGAGGTTATTTTGTTAATTAGATACTGTAAAGCATAAAAATTTGTTTCTAATCATTAGATATTATCAAATTCCATTCGTAGTTTTAGATTAAAAAGATTTAATTCTAACCTACTTCTCACGTCACGCATTTACAAGTTAAGTAACTGTTTATTTCCTTTGAAAATAGGTTAATGTTTTCTTAAGTAAACGTATATCATGTTGATGAATGCTGATAAATTTATTATAACGAGGTAAATGGAGAGCGACGATAGAGATTGTTCGTTATATCCGAACATCTACCAGACACTTAAACAACCGCTTTACCTTAGTCATATGTCACAATTATACATGGAAACAAGAGAAATTTATTATATCGGGATTTGTAATGTTTTCGTTTTATATTAATTACGTTTGGAGATTTTCGTAAAATTTCTATAAATAAATAAAAATTGACGTTTGAAAGAATAGGAAGGAAGTGATAAATTTAGAAATTTATCTTTTGTTTCTTAACACTACGATTTATTGTTCTGTTATTTAACGCTCTCATTAACACTTCCCGTATGTTACGCTATTTAAATAATATGTATGTGCAGCTCTTTTTTTAAACGCGGAAATTTATTTTAAAAAATATTCAGTTAAAATACGGAGTCAGACCGAAAGTTGACATATATATAGGCCTATATCATTACCTCTCCCCCTTTTATCACTCAATTTCGGGTTATCTTCTCGAGAATCTTGGGGAGGGAGTCACTCAGGCGACCTTTAAACGTCCAGAAATGCAAATGAGATTGGTGGTATGTATGAATGTTAGTGTATGTATTGTATGTGTGTGGGGGGAGAGCAAGTTTTTTCAACAAATTTGAAGCTTAATAACTCCTGTTCCTTTTGTCGAAAATGTCTGAAATTTTGTTGGTTATTTTGGGAATTAGGGGGGAATATTTCTAGAGATTTTCAGGAAAACTTGACCATTGGTTCGGGAGATATTAAAGGAGTATAACCATACCTCAACAAACAGTCCAATTTTTATGAAAATTTCCAGAAACATTCCAGTGTAATACGCAAACCACACTACCAAATTTCAGAAGATTTTGACAAAGAGTACAGGAGTTATTAAGCTTTAAGTTGGGCGAACAAAATCATGATCCAACTTGAAGCACTACCACAGATACAAACGTACTAACCTCCTCCATACATAGAAAAAAAAAACCCAAATTTTTTGTATTTCTTGATACTTTTGGAGGTCATTTTCTAATCAATCGCTATGATATTAATAGGAGTGAATAAATTAATGTAGAATATTACGAAACAATGCTATTAATTGTCAATACTTCCTTGTAGATAACATGAAATATTGACCGATTGTCATCATTAAAAATTCGAAAATAATCAGTAATATATTAAAAATAATTGCTTTAGAAGAATTAATAAAGCGTAACACAAGAAATATGTGAACATTCAATTTTCCTCAATATCCTCGACTATGCGTAACACAACTTTGAAGATTTATCTTTATTGATTCAAAGCTGTGTTACGCATTGTCAAGAGCATTAAGAAAATCAAATGTCACATTCCTTGCGTTACGCTTGACGTAACGCAAACACGACAAATGAAGCGAGCAAATACTTCATTTATCATGTTACACTTGGAAAATATAGTACAAAGCGTTATATTATGTGAAATTTCAATATTGTAAAGGGGTGAACATTACCTTACAATTTATCTTTTAAGGAAAATTTTCCAAAATTTACGTATAGAATATTCTAAACAATACTGTTCTATTTACTATTCTTTATTAGAATAATATAAATAATTGATCTATTGGGTCGTGTATTGTTTATGAGAAGATTCGTATATAGGAGCTGTACTACAGCAGAACCTGCAATAAAAACAGAACTCGATGGCTCCTTTTGTGTCTATATCTCCCTTTATATACGTTACAGTAATACAATTTCTTCCATTCTGTCCGGGTCTGACAGGTTTCGGTTTTTGGATAGCATTTCTCAAGTTAACCTGTTTAAAGGAACACGAGATTAGTAAACTAAGTTGATCTAAGAGCTGAATAATGAAGGCTAAAAGGTTCATCCTGTGATTAAGGGACAAGGATTGATATACCAGGAACACTTGTGTGGTAGTGTAATATTACTGTAGTGTAATTTCAATCTTTTGAAAAAGATAAAGGGAATTAAGTCAGGTTTATTGAAAAAGATCCAATGGCATCACATGTAGCAGAGATCATATTATCTTCACGTTAGTAACACCTAAATAAGGTCCAGGGAGGACCCTATTTAGGTATTACGTGGGAAATTTAGGTGTCAGGTGTTGTTTTACGCCTGCTCCGTTCAAGGTCAATAACCTAAACTTATTATCCTATATTTTCAGTTTCGGTTCCGATTCGTACGATTCGGGGTAGTTGTTTAAAAATAAGAATTAATCGCACGTTATCAGACTTTACCTAGGTAAATCGAGTTCTTTCGGTTACCTTTCAGGTGTAGGCATGCACGAGTGAGCCTTATCGGCGATAAAATGCCTAAAATAAAGTCACAATTGTCACGAAATACATCCGCTCTAAACCAATGTCTCTATAGGAAACATGGAATACCATAAAATTCGCACCCCTACCCCCAAAATCCCACACTTTTCGAGCAATGTAGACAAATATTTAATAGTTCCTCTCTAGAAAATATACGGTACTTTCAAACTCGAATCCTCACTCCTTTCCCATTTCATCCCACACAAACTCATTGACTGATTTGCACAAAAATTTTCATAGTTACTCTCTGCCACCCTGAGGGAAACACACGCTACCTTGTAACGGGGACAGCTCAATCCTTCCCCTGCAGCAACACTGGGAATTCTTTGCGTATCGAACGTAATATTGTTTATAATTGACCTCATCCACAAAATAAGGTCAATAACGCCGACGTCCATCATCTTTAATTATTATAATTATAAAACTTGGAACTTGTATCGCACTTCCTTAACATTCCTTTAACATACATTTATATCGTTCTCTATCATTAATTCTTACAACCATGCCAATTTCTGTTCTTGATTTATTATTTAATCGAAGTAAGAATAACATTACTTTTTAAATATATTCTGTTTTCTAATGTTCTATTTAATATAGTTGCACATGTGTTTATAGTATAGGTCTTATGGAATGAGGGTGCCCAATTAGAATCATTAAAAAAAACAGTTTGCTAGTAGCTCAATGGATAAAACAATTGAACATTGGTAGTTGGACGTTGGTTCGGGCCTCCCAACGGGCTGGCCACGTGGTGTTTTCCGGGTTTTCTTCGCCTAAACAGGAACCCAGGAGGATGCCTAATAAAAACAATAACAATGTTTCTTATAAGATTAACGCCCGTAGAAACTGATGACCAAAGCAATAAAAGTATGAGTTTACTAGTGTGCAGCCAGGCCCTGAGCACCTCTAAATCCTCCAGTTTGCCAAAGAGGAGAGATTTTCTACGAGAAACTACTCCTATTTAGGTGTTAGATACGCAAACCAAACCCCGAAAACTCCATATAGTTAGCCCGTTGACGAGGCACGAACCTACGACTAGTGTTTAGCGGTTTTATCTAGAGTTTTGTTTGTCTGTTTGTATAAGGAATGGGACCATAGTTCGGTGGTTTAATCCATTGGTGGAACGTGATCTAAGGCCAAACATATTCGGAACAGGCCACCCCCCGAATAATTAACAGAATTAATTAGAAAAATTCCCAATATATAGTGAAAACAACTACAAATTTATCAACAAAAAGATGGTATTTCAAGATTTGTGTAATAAATTATAAAATTTTCCATTTGGTGTTANGCCTAATTTTCCTGGCAAAAAAAGTGAAGATTTTGTATGGCGCCATCTGTTATGAAATTTTATTAATTATTAAAAAATGGCAAAAAGCTTAATTTTAAGTATAGGGATGAGTTTTAGAAAGAAGTCCTAAATGCTAATAAACGATAAAATCTTTATGAAGTCCGATTCCACTCGAGATAAGACACGTGACCTTCTGTATCTCTTCGCTCCCTCGATCTTTGACCATAAAAATTTAACAGTATTAATCTCCCTAATACACAAACCTCCCTACAAAATTTCAGAAATTTCCGACAAAAAACATAGGAATTATTAAGCTTCAAAAAGGGTGAACAGAATCGTGCCCCGTATATAGCCTATATATATATACACACACACTATCATCAATTAATACAGAAATTACTCCCGAATATTTTGGCATTTCTCNTGGACGATTTGTCTTCCATGATGGGAGCCAAACCGAATATGTTGAATATGTTTTTCACGGATTTCCCACTATTTTGGGCATGTTTTATGGGACCGAAT